CTGTTACACTAATTAAATTTTATTTAACTTTTAAGTTTAAAAGTTTTTTTTAATTTAACAGATAAGTTAAATTTCTAAGATTGTGATTGCTGTCTCTTATACACATCTAGATGTGTATAAGAGACCAGTATAGAACTTGTAACAGCCAACTTTTACATTCAGTAAAGCTGATGAAGGTCAGAGGACTGGCCGACAATTTCTTTGCAAATAAATGAACTGTTCTACAGTTTTTAACATCACGATGTTGTTCATATGTTTAATCCATAGGCCTATGGTGAAAATGCCCACTGTGTTTGTTATTTAATATAAACTAATCTTGCAAATTTTGACCCTTAATAATCTAATGTGTTTTTCCCCTTTTTTCACTGTGGATAACACAAATAATGGAACACAATTCCTATTAAGGCGACATTATTTTGTTTATTGTTTCACTACAACTAATAGTATTTCATACGAATTATTTTAGCTAGTAATGTCATATTCTTACATCACAATGTATGATATCCTACAATTAACGTGCCCTACTTTTGTTTGTAAACATAAACAGGATATAAACTATTGTCAATTTGACCCTTAATAACGGATTGTTTTTTCTCGTATTATTAATAATAATTATGATTGGTCACAGTTTGAAAGTCGTTTCATTCTACGTCTAAATACGTGTCAATAGTTTTTACATCGCAATGACTAACTAAGTTAGGTGCTGGATATCGGTATTTAAAAAAAATTGCACTGTAATTAGCAAACGCAGATGCAGTACCTATTTGATCGTGAATTAAAACCGTAAAGAATAAATTATTTTTCCTAATAAATGTTACAAATATTTTATGTACTGGAAGGTTACAAAGTTATATGTGTTCATTTGACAAGCGAGTTGTGCAGCTACGACGAATGCTAAGTTATGAATATAGACAATAGCAGCACTTTTACAAAAACTTATCAAAGATGTGCCGTAAGACAAAAAAGAGATTTTGGTGTTGCATTGTAGTTTCCATCAAAGGAACAGAGAGCTGTGATTGAGTGTATATAAGCTGTGGTTTTCCATCTTAACTCTATCACTTGATGATCCATCGTACTGCTGCCTGTTTTATAAGATTTCTCTCAACGTTCGTTTGCTTGATATTCGTTTGGGTACGTGAGTTAGTTTGTTTTGAGTTACAGAGTGATTTGATATAGTTGCTGGAGCCGATAGATAAATTTGACAATAAGTTTAATTCTGATAGTTAAATTGTTTAAGCTTAATTTTGTAATAACGTGAGTTAGTTTGTTTTGATTGAGTTATAGAGTGAATTGATAGTTGCTGGAATTGATAGAGAAATTTAATATTAAGTTTAATTTCTGAGTTTTATATTAAAAATTCCGTAATAGTTTAAATCTATTCTAAGTTTGGTTATTATTAAAGTTTTGAATTTAGTTTAATTTAATCACTGTTACACTAATTAAATTTTATTTAACTTTTAAGTTTAAAAGTTTTTTTTAATTTAACAGATAAGTTAAATTTCTAAGATTGTGATTGTGTGCTGTAGCTTTTGTTTTGAATTGTTGATCGTGTGCTCAAAAGTTGAGTTGGGTGTGTTCCATCGAATTCAGCACATCGTCTTGATTGAATCATAATTGTTTTATTGAAAAACTGTTCCACGTCGTGCCGCTGATTTCCTGAAGAATCTCTCCTGTCAAGTGCGCCATGCCATCTAAGGTAATCATCTAAACCATCTATATTTTGTATCTTTTCTTTTTTTTTCTTTTTTTCTTGCATGTAGATATTTAATGATTTTTTGCTTTTAAGAATCTTTGTGTGTCTGTTTTGTGTCTATTTGGGACCCCTCTGGATATAAATTCTATGTGGGTATTTAGAACGTAATCCCAGATTGGCATTGATGACGTGCTTGTTTTATTCTGTTATATATATATGTTTATTCATATATATATATATATATATATATATGATGAGGTATGTCACATATATACATACATACATATACATGTACATATATAACCTGTAACCTGCTTATTTGCATACATCAAAATGTTTTACAGTGTTAAACATGATTATATATTTATTATAAAAATTACTTTATGTACTTACAGTTAATCCTCTTTTAAGGGGTCCCTTGAATAGTGGTTGGCAATAGTATTTAAGGATATATTTTCCTTCATTTTGTGTCCGAAAAATTTTCCCCTTAAGGGGTGTTCCCTTGAGGTGCCCCAAAGGTACTCTAATGTATTTGCATACACATAATAAAAAAAATATTAAAATCACTTCATGTACGTATTTGCATACTTATATAAGTTGTTCCAAATGTTCCCAACAGTCTAGCTGGCCATCGTTAGAGGAGGCATATGGTACCAAAGCGTCGCCACCAGCAGACCCTGTATGTTCAACACCGTCACCATCGCACGAACTCCCTGAATTCCAACAGGACTTTTCACCAGTTCAAGATGTACGTATTTATATGTTGCTAATAACTTATTATTATTGCTATGACTATTATTGTTCCCAAATATGATTCTATTTAGATTTATCTAACCCTTTAAAATGATGAAAAAAATATGTCTGAACAGAAAAAAGAAATGATATATATGTATATATATATATATACACATATATATACATATACATATACATATATACATACATATATATACATATAATAATAATAATAATACTATAATAACAGAGGAAGAAGTAGATATCATCATGCAGTCACGAAAATCAATACTGTTCTCCAACAACTCAACATGGGTCAAGAAAAATTCAGACGATATGTTCGACGTCACCATGGGGAGTTTTGACGGAGC